TATCTATTTCCGATCCTTACTTCGTCAATGGCTGTATGTAAGAGAAGCAGAAAAGCCCCAATATCGCAGGTGCAGGCTTAGAGGCCTCGCCAAATCCTCGCTTGCTGAGAATAGAATCATTGATGACCTGCCGACGGAACCCTGCCCTTCCTTCACCTCTATTCTTGTTTGCCATTCTTTTCCTTTTCCAAATCCATTGAAGTTTTAATTATAGTTCCATGAATCGGCTCTGCATACTTTGAGCAATGGATCCCAAAATAACACAGTTTGGGGTGCTTCGCCGTGGTGTTGGGAGGACGGCACTTACAACTGAAGGTACCGCAGCTCCATAGAGAGCGGGAGGAGGCGGCCTTCCTGCATGTATGATATGCTATTACCAAGGAGCGCCTCATGTTGCCTGGCTTCGTGTTTCCAAGAGTGGCACCAAACCTTCACTTACAGTCCTGTTTCTCAAGGCGACATTACCCTTCGGCAAGTGGAAGGTAAGTGTCTATTAGATGACGGGCAGCATCCACTCGTCCTCAGCAGCCAATTATACACATAGAACCACGGCCACTCTAACAACTCAAAAGAGCGCGTACTTCTTATTATAGTCCCATATGAGCACTGTTATGATGGCGATAGGCTCGTAAAATGCAGGTACAGCGTGCCAGACCTGTCATGAGGACGGAATAGCAATAGCAGGCACTGGGCTATATCTTAAATGTGGGCTGAAGGTAAGCCGGAAGAATGAGGAAGGTGCTGAAAGCTCGTGTCTTGACTGCCATTGAAACAAATGGGAGATCGCAAAGGTATCGATGGCTTGCTCTGTTAAGGTCTGAAGCACGTATGAGTACCTCCATACGTGCGAGCAGCAGAAAAAGGAGAATCCAGAGCGATGTTTTCGACTGAGTCTTTCCCTGAACGAAGAAAAAGAGAATCATCAATTTTGGTACTATCCCGTTCGAGGCTAGGCGTGTCGGATCCGCTTCCCGCCTGCGCTTTCAAGAGGGAGACACACGAACACCCTAAAGGCTAAACATTCAACACCTACCCTTCCATTTTCACACGTCGTATCATTCCGGGAGTAACCCTTTGCCGTAAGATTAAGATTACTACGGAGCACGCCCGCCAGAAGCGAAACCCTGGGAGCCACGTCTCTGGGAGTCTTCCTTTGCAAGGGTATTCGAACGGAATCAGAGAAAATTCCCATCTCTCAATCCCAAGGAGCCGCCAATCTCGGAACCCTGCTTTTCTGTGACAAAGGAAAAAGGGAAAAAGTGGAGTGGTCAAGAGACGAATGCAAGCTTGAATGAGTGCGGTGTGTGGGAAAAGGCTGGCCTGGAGCGTTACATGGCATTTGCAGGCCCTGTGCACTCCACAGAGCTGGTCTTGGGACTAACAACAATATCAAATGGCTATGGCTATGGCTATGGCTATTCGTTCTCCGGAATACATCGTAAAGAGGGAGGAGGCTAACCTGAGTCTTGATAAATTGAGGCTGCCCAAGGATGGAGGTGCTGACGACAATGGGAAATATCAGTAATTAGAATTCAATGTTACTCGGTGCTTCATCTACACGCAGTGTCTCTGCAACCCCTCTCAAGCCATACATATCAAGTCTGAATACCAAGAAACCGTTGGATCCGAGGGCCCTCTCCGAAGCCTGCATCCAATGAGACGCCAACAAAGCGTCCATTCACTCGTTCACGTCTTGGTTCTGTCATTTCGTGACATGTTGAAAATTGGAAAGAGGGCTCGGACTTCTGACCCCATCATTTCTCGCCACAGGTGTGTTCTGGTGGCCCCGGATGATGTGGCTTTTCAAGGAGCAGGGTAACCAGTGGTGGAAGTATTGTCAGAGTCCCGGTCCTTTGCCTTGATATCCGACTTGGACCCTTTAAGGTCCAAGTACGAAAGGAGTAGTACGGGTGGCGGGCGGGGACCGGAGGCAACTGATATTATGGATCCGTCGAGGAAGGCTTGTTCTCGACTCTAAACTTCTCGGACACGGCGCTGGTATTGACGTGAGGATCATTCACGGGAGGGTCCGTTTTTAAGAGATCCTTCATGCACGCCCTTAGTGGGGAGTCTATCCTCCTTCGTACGCTTAAATCAATTTCCATACAATTTGGGATTATTTACGAAATAATAGCTACTTAAGGCCAATGTCCGTACACGTACTCTTTTCTTGTAGCCCTCTCGACAGACAGGATCTGGAGATCATTATCTGGGGAAAAAAGTGGAGGAATATCATGCTCGGGACTATGCTTCCATCTCACGGCCCCGCCCAAGGCGACGAGGAATGCCAATTAAATCTAGATTATTCATTTCGCCCAGGACTCCTTCAGAATCTGGTACTCTCCGTGGTGTGCAACCTCGAGACCGTTTTCTAGATGTGATGGTATGGACGCCTAGAAACGAGAGGGTGGGAGGTGAGGCGATGAGATGGAGCAGGAACCTTGATTTAGACTGTGCATGAAAGGACAGGACCCAGGTGGCCATCTCCACCGCACCACCTTGGAGACGTGTAATTCGTGTAGAATTCTTCGTCTCGAATTCCTCGGCGAACGGTAGATCTTGCGGCGCACATCCTGGCTAGATCTGTTTTGGCTATGCTTCATCCAGATACGGTAGGAAAAATACCCACACCCATAATAGACGAGCCAAGCTGTCGGCAATGGCATGAAGATATCATTCTGGGCATGGTAATATGAAAGTTCTCAAGGTGTAAATCACACAGCTTGGGCAAACATACAAGGCAGCCCACCCATTTTACATTTGCCCCATCCCTAAGAGCGAAAAGTAAAGGTGATTGGCGACCGCGCCTGGTGCCCAGACAGCAGGCACAGGGCGTACCTTGGCCTTTTCCCCGCACTTTTTACCTTCTTGCTCTTCACTGCGAAGTACATTTCCTTGATGGACTTTGGACTGCGAGCGTGCTACTGCAAGAGGATGGATCATCGGCATAACAAGATAGAGTATGAGGTAAGGTCAGCATGACAGGGGGCAGGCAGGTCCTTGATAGGGAATCGGCGAACAAGAAAAACCACAGCACACGGAGAACGGAGAACCCGACACCCTGTACGCTGAGGAGATGCCAATGCAAGCAATGATGTGAGAGGATGGCACAGCCAAAGGTGCGGCATAACTTGATCCGTCTGAATCGTTATTACTTGCAGAAAAAAAAGAAAGCCACGAGAGCTTGAGTAACAAATGCTCGGCACGCCTTCGCGTGGCGCGCCAGGAGGAGCAGGTGGTGGCACGTCGTACGCAACAAATTTAATGGCATGAATCTCACTGGTGGTGCCGTACTCATCTATCCTTGATGCGAGGAATGACCACACGAGCACGAGAGCTGTTAGCGAGCCCTTTTCTCCCATCATTTTGGGGAGGTGGGCGCCTCAACCGCCCTCCCATTGCGGTGGCTTGCATGAGTGGGAAAAGGCTCAGACCAGTCGGCTTCCATCCTTCTCGTGTAGGATATCTGGGGACACAGTTCTTGGGTGAGAGCTCTTGGTCTATTCGCAAACAAATTGTCCCCGTGAGCGATGATGCCCACTATTAAGCCCACTGGCGACTGCACTGCCAGCTCGGTGACGATTCCCACTTTGTGTAGATTTTGCGTGGGAGGTCAGTGGCCTTGTCTTACTCCACAGTGATATTTCGTTGTTGGTTCTTCGGGCTTGCTGTCACAGATGTCGAGATCGGGATTGTCTGAGAAAATTACTGGGCCCCTGTCCTCGACCCTCTTATGTACATTGTATCTCAGTCTTTAGGGTCTCGACTGCGCCGCCGACCCTGACATTCCCTTTGCCCTTGTCCTGTGGAGGGCAAAGCCTGACTTGGAGGCTCGCCCGCTTTCTCCTCCCACTCGACCAAACTCGCCTCCATTCAGTCAAATTTTAGTGGCTACTCTGGTGGCCCCCGCATCTCTTCCCCATTCCCCATTCCCCATTTGACCTATCTAGAACTCAATTGGCACTCGTCTGAAGTTCCATTGCAATACAGTACACCACTTCGTACACAGGTAGTGCGGTGTACTTCGTACGAAGTAGTTCTGGGGTGGTGTGGGTACGTGTGGGCGTTCATCCGCGATGTAACTAAAATGTACCCTCCAACGGTTCGTGCGGTATCACATCGGGTACGAGACCGTACCGCTACTTTGCCATCACGTATCTTACCCCGGAACTGCCCCCAACAGGACCTTGTCGTCCCCATCTCAGTTAATATAATACGACGGAGGAACCTATAGCAAAGTACCAAAGTACGGTTCAGGAACGAGAGAGCGACCCTTGTTCCATCACTTCTTTCCCCATCTTTTATTTCCCATTTCAATGATCCCACTAAAAACGATCACAGGTTGGTAGTGTATACAGGTACTTGGGAGGCAAGGCAATATATAGTAGAGGCAAGAAGTACTTCAGGCTTGACGACTTGTAAACTACATTTGAACTGGCGTGGCAGGCGCTCCACGCTCTCACCCACCACCCACTGCACCCCATATTTGATACCTCTGATCCTCCACATTTCTTCCAATATCCGGTCTCGTTTTGCCATAATAACACCTCGGCCCAGTGCTTACATCCAATTTGTAGCTTCCTCTCGTCTCATTCACTCTTGCTTCCCGTTTCCAACTCCACCATTTCACCTGAGGAAGTTGACATCTCTTGGACTGTTTCATCGCCAAAACTTATTTCGTCTCTAACCTCAATCTATCTCTTATCCCCTGTTTTTGTTATACTCGACACATCGTCGTCTGAACTCTACTTCTGTTTCTTGACCAAGCTCTTAGTGCTGTGCTATCTCCACGTCCCTCTTATTTAACCCCCCCAAAAAGAAGCCGACAGAACTGTGTAATCCGGGGTTGTGTTGTCGATCTCCCCAAAACCAACCACGGCTAGGAAAGTCTGCACACACAAGCTCACCTCGGGTCAGGGTTGCTCTGAACCTTCAGAGCAACAACGCCGTCGCCGTTGCCCACCACGTCTTCCACACAGCTTCACCTCCAAACCAAAATCATGTCCCCGTCCTCGACGGGCGACTCCCCTCGATCGGCCACAGCAGCAGCCACCGCCCGGTTTACCATGCCTACTCGTGACAACTTCACCATTGACATACCCTCCGGCGCCCTCAACTCAGTCACCAACGGTGCCGTAAATTCCATAAAATCCCCCGCCACCATCAAGACGCAGCGGGCTGCGAGCTTCAGCAGGGAAGGCATCCTTGGCGCCGCCCAGAAGGCGCGCAACCTCTCTTTGCCCACCGATACCCGATCCGAAAACATGGCCGCCGGAAACCAAAAGTCGCAGCAGGCCGACGATGGTCCTAGCAGCAACCCTCTGAAAAGGCGCAACCCAGACTCCACTCCTGATTACCCGAGGAGGAGGGCTACTATTGCTGTATGTTGCTAAATTTTGCTCTTCCATTTTCCCTCCCCTTTCTCTTTCTCCTTGTTCATGGGATTTGGAGCATCGAAGTGGTGGAGCTCCGTGGTTGTTAACGTAGCGGGAACAAAAACTGTAGTGCGAGGTTTGCCGATCCAGAAAGTCCCGATGCGATGGCACGAAGCCAAAATGCAAGCTCTGCACCGAGCTCGGCGCCGAGTGTATCTACCGCGAGCCCGGAATCAAGCTTGATGCTGGCGACAAGCTTATCCTGGAGCGCCTTGGCAGGATCGAAAATCTACTGCAAATGAACATTGTCAACAGCCAGGCTAACGGCGGCATAAATATTTCCCACGATTCCCCCTCGATGAGCAACGGAACTGCCCTGAGCGGTGGGGAAAACCTCATGGTTGGAAACGCCGCGAACAACTTTGTGTCTATCATTCCAAACGGCGGCCTTGGTACCTGGACGAGCCCCACCAATATCTCGACGATGCCCAAGGTGCACACGAATGCCGCGCTTCACCTCCTCCAGTGGCCCCTTATCCGTGATCTCGTTTCTCAACCCTACGACCCCCAGATTTTGCTCCAGCTCGAAATGGCGCGGGACCCTCTCCATTCGCTCACCAAAACTCCCTGCGTCGACTTGTCTAATACCCAAGCCTACATCGAGGCGTACTTTGAGCGAGTGAACGTGTGGTATGCCTGCGTCAACCCCTTCACTTGGAGGAGCCATTACCGAACCGCGCTCTCCAACGGTTTTAGGGAGGGTCCCGAGAGCTGCATTGTCTTGTTGGTCTTGGCCCTCGGCCAGGCGAGCTTGCGGGGCAGCATCTCACGTATTGTCCCTCAGGAGGATCCCCCCGGCCTTCAATACTTCACCGCGGCCTGGGCTTTGCTTCCCGGTATGATGACTTCGAACCACGTACTCGCAGCGCAGTGTCATCTCCTGGCGGCGGCCTATCTCTTCTATCTGGTTAGGCCTCTAGAGGCTTGGAATCTCTTGTGTACTACGAGTACGAAGCTACAACTTCTACTCATGTCACCGAACCGTGTCCCTCCTCAGCAGCGCGAGTTGACGGAGCGTATCTACTGGAATGCCCTTCTCTTCGAAAGCGACCTCCTTGCCGAGCTGGACCTCCCCCACTCGGGCGTGGTGCAGTTTGAAGAGAATGTCGGCCTCCCCGGCGGCTTTGAAGGAGAGGATAATCAAGAAGCCGTGGGACGCGATGACCTCTGGTACTTCTTGGCCGAGATTGCTCTCCGAAGGTTGTTGAACCGCGTCAGCCAGCTCATCTATTCCAAGGATTCCATGGCCTCGACAACGAGTCTGGAGCCGGTCGTGGCCGAGCTCGACTACCAGCTTACCCAGTGGTACGAGTCATTGCCTATGCCCTTGCAGTTCCCATTCGCGCGGACCATGCTCGTGGACCCGGTCCAAACGGTCCTACGATTCAGGTTCTTCGCATGCCGAACTATAATTTACCGGCCCTACATCTTGGCCGTTCTGGATAACGAAAACGCCGTATTGGATCCATCAGTACGGGAAAGCTGCCATAAATGCCTCGAAGCGGCAATCCGGCAATTGGAACATATCCAGGCACAGTAAGTTGAAACTTGCCCTCCCACTTTCCTTCCTTCCTCCCCCCCCCCCAATAATTGAAGCCGTCGAGTGGTCCCCCCCTCGATTCTGCGGCGGGCCTCCATATTTCTCCCAGCTGCAGGTCAAGCAACCCCCGCACACTCTTCCCGCCTAATATAGATACCCATTTCCCCTTTATTACACCACATACTGCCCTGCCCACCACATCCATGTCTCATTCTTCTTTTTGAATGAGAGCCGAACATGCAGTTAATGAAACCAATCTAACAAATTCACCGCAGTCACGCCGGCCACATGCCTTATCTCTGGCAAGGAGCTCTGTCGATCGTATCGCAGACGCTGCTCGTAATGGGCGCAACTATGTCCCCTTCACTGATGAGCATCCTGCTTACGCTCGTCCACAGCCGAGAGACGATTGACCACATCATCAACGAGGTTGTTATGGAAATTGAGAGATATGCCGTGTTGGCGCCCAGCCTCAGCCTAGCGGCCGAAATTATCAAAGAAGCTGAGGTTCGAAGAAGGGCGTTCCTCAACGCTTGACGATGGTAACGAGTCGCGGGGGAAGAAAAAAAGAAGCTTCGACTTTTTTTCCCCACCTCTCATACTTTTCGTTTCTTTTGAAACAATTACTACCGGTTACAATGGTCTTAATGCCCTCTCATTATCATTTCCCAATGCCTTTGACCGACCCCCCGTTGACTTTTCGGCCCCGTCTTTGACGCTGGCCCTAGTTATTAGGGGAAGGGGGGGTGAAAAAAAAGGCTGCAACAATTTACATTGGGTGTTCATCGAGACTGCTTCTTCAGGAATAGGAGAATATGCCAAGGCTATTCTCGACGATTCCAGTTTTTCGCGTCTACTGATCTGCCTTGGAGCCGATCGGACCGGGACCGGGACCTGGGAGTTCACGTCAACCGTCAACGTTCTTTTTGTGTCCGCAAAGCCTTGCTCTAGGCGGACTGCTACTGCAACGCCGTGCCCTCCACCGGCTCCGGAATATCCACTTCCCGAGACCCATGGCTGGCGTAGGGTGCGTCTACATGATACGTTATTCCCCTCTTACCAACCGGGAGGATCTAAGTCGGGGTTGTCGCTACCTGCCAGCGGGCGGGAAGCGGAATAGGCCTTTTTGACTTTGGTCATTTTTTTCCCCACTACCCCAGTTCATGGGGATTGGAAGCGCTACTTTGGTGGGAATGAGTTTCGAGGTCGCTTCGTTTCGCCATTGCGTGTATCAGCGGCGCAACCCAAAGCCCAACGTTTTAATACGGTCGTTAACCGCTTCACTTTTTCCAGCCCCCGTTCTATTTTGGCCGGGGATCTGCATCTGCGACCAAAGGAAAAGGCATTTCATGTCTTGGCTATTATTTCCCGTCTGCCCTCCTTTGGCTGGGGCTAGCCTCTCGAAACGGAAGTCTCCAAGGTCGGAATTAGTTCGATTTGACTATGGGGTATCACTTCCAACTTGGCCGAACATAAGGGCTTTACTAGCGGCGATTACGAACTCTGAGAGCTCTTGGATCCAATTCTTTCAGAGGCTTGAACCGGTTGCATTTTTTCCGTCTCTAATTTAGGACCCATTGAGAACCGGCCGCATCTTGCCTACAGCTCTGTTTCCGGGATTAACCAGTTCCCCACTTCACGTACGGCCTTTCCGCTTCGCTCTCGAGCCGCATATGGACCAGCACGCGCTAATGCGGTCATTCTTCTGGACTTCCATCCTTTCTGATCAGAAGGGAGGGAGGAAAGTGACTAACGAAACCACCTAGTATTCTATGGATGGTGTGTGCGATGCGGGATTAAGGGAACGACATCCGACGGAGACGAGATGACTATGTGATGAAGACGACGTCTTACCACAACATCGCCCGATGAAGATTTAGCAACTGGATAGTCAAAGGCAGCCTGTCACGGTACGTCGCAACTCCTCATGATGTCTTGGAATCCTCTACTAAGATGAGATGAGCTCCGTTTCTAGCCGAGTGTGGGGAAAGATACAGACGATGACGTACGACAACAACAACATATTCTCGATTGGGACAACGCTTGCGGATGGAATCCGTCCTGCTTCATGACCTGGACAGGGTCTGAAAAGGGGGTGTCTGAGCTCAAAAGGCGAATGGACATTTTACAGGATTTTAGGCTTTTCGAAAATATCGACCGACGATACGACCGATTGGAATTGGATGCAACGCCGTTATGGACGACATATCAAAATGAGTGGAAAGTGACGTGGGGAAAAAATCACAGCTCCGGCCGGGCGGCGGCGGCGACACCTGCGGGAGAAACGATACCCTAGAGATGGCAAAGTACGACTCCTACACCTCTTTTTTCTTCAGCATCCGGCTTCTTTCGCTCCGCACAAACGCTGCAGAAAAGCAACGCGGGGAGCATGGATTTCGTTGGAATTCCCCCTCTCTCTCAAACCTTCTTTCCCCTCCCCCCTTTCTTGTCAAAGCCCATATAGGCGCCAGATCTCATCCGTTCGCTGCAGTGTGTGGTTGGCGGGTAATAGTGAAGGTGTGAGGGGATTCGGGCCGAATATCCGGGAAAATACATTCAGCCAATCAGTGGTCGAGGGAGCCAACCACCCCGGGTCAACCTTGCTTCCCTCCTTCACGCGATCGATCTATTCCGTCGAGGAGACCATGACGACGACAATTGGAGGTACTCAGCTCTTCAATGGAGATCCGTGCCTTTTGAGGGAAATTTGTGACGAAATGAAAGGGGTGATGGAGGAGAAGGAGAGGGATAGTAGTGAGACAGGAACAGAGCGGCTTGCTCTTTCGCACTTCCTCTTCTTCCTCGTCTCACGGCAGTGCGGAAAGTGTCCGGTTCTACTGGCCTGGCTACAGTTGTAGCTATCCCCTCCGCTGGTCGATCTTGCACCTGCTAAGATACCCGATACTTTCCCCGCTGCCGACTCCATATCGCCTTGCCGCTATCCGGAGATAGCGACAACTGAGTCCCGTGTGTCCGGGTGCGAAGTCTCTCGCCTGTCCCAGCATGGAACCAAGGCGCGGAGTGGAATTTTGGGATCCCGTGAAGGACGCACGGTGGGACTGTCCCTCCTTCCTGTTAGCGTTGTGATGGAATTCTTTTTATATCAATTGGGAGACCGTGAGATGTTCAATTCTTTCCACTCTGATTGGGGAACGATATTTTATATTTTTCTTACCAATTTTTGGCGAGGTGTTTTCTTCCTGTTTTCTTTCTCTTTTTACTCTTGTTATTCTGTCTGCTCTCTCTCTCATGACTTTGATGAACTTGGAACATGGGTGGTGCTTTATTATTCCTCAAGTCGGCCCCTTGGCGTGTCTAGGTTGCAACGTTTTTGTTTCCAAGGTTGATATTGATTCTTTGAAGGCCGTTTGAAACACGACATGTTTTTTGGGAGCGTTTTATTCGTGAACCTCGTTTTCTCGGGGATGATGGGTGTCCCGCTGCGCTGCGCTTGGGTGTAAGATGTATTATATATAATATAATAATAGCGCAACAGTGCCCTCGCCTCTCTTGCTATGTGAGTGTTCTTGATGGAGTGTTTCTCTTCTCCGTCTGCGTCTATGCCGTGTATGCATTTAACCCTGCTGGCTCAAGAGGAATGGCATGTGGTTACTCTGAATCGAAAGCCTTGCATTCTGGGATGATGTTTACGCCGTTCAGATACATGACCAAGTGTGACGAGGGAGATCAGCCGGCGGTCAGATTGCTCGGCGGCAGATGATTCCCTTTTCTCTTCCTCCTCCTCTTCTCCCTTACATCCAACCGTTGCGGTCTTGAGTAATTTTTTACTCTTGGGTGTAACTTGTGAGGCCCTTAGTTTCGAGATGGATGGTTGATGGTTGTGGCTGGGTGGGCCCTGAAGAGAATTTTGAAAACCGGTTGGGCCTGCGTTTACATTTCAAGTTTCCCTTTTTTTTTCTTTTTCGGGGCAATATTAACTCCAAAATGGCACAGGAAGAAAACGTAACTTCTTCCATTCTTCAAAGTGTTTAGCGAGATGTGGTCGAGGGGGTTTTTGGGGGGGGGCTATTTAGTGACGTCTACTTTGCTTCCTCTTGAAAAGGGAGTTGCGGCACTTCTACTAATTAGCCACTTTACCCTCCCTTGGCCTTGCTATTTTCTTCCCTTGCTCCGAAGCAGGTTTTCCTGAAATATTTTGCTGATTTGAGATTCTTCGAAGTGGGTGTCGAGATTTGTGTGTGGACAGGTAGATGGAGGTGGATATCGCTTCGGAGAGGGTTAGAGATGGCTTGCATGAGCTTTTAAGCAGGATGCTGTACGAGTTGCCATTCTTATTTCGTTCCAGTGCTACTTGCTGGAGAAAGGTAGCAGTGGAACTGGTTGTTTGTTTCGAGTGGTAACCGTGAGGGAGTGGTCATGATATCTAGGCTCGAAGAAGTGCAGGAACGACGCCCAGAATGAATGAACATTGCGCGGCTTCATGAGTGGGAGATGTTACTGGTATGACCTTTCTAGGGTAGATGAGGCTTTTCTTTGAGCTTGGAGGGCTCAGTTTTGCTTTCTTTTGCGTGAAGAATTAGGACTCTTGTTTAGGAAGGATATTGCTGGGGAAACTAGGGTGATGTATGAGTCCATGATGCGGAAGGGATCCTCTGGACAGCCCCATGCCGTTTCCCATGATACACATGCCAAGAACCATTTCGTTTCGGGCGGGTTTGGCGGTTTCTTTAGTCGGGGGCGTCCTTCGTGGGTAGCTCGATCGGACTTCACTAGGTGATCCTCCCGGTCGACAACGATAGAAGTGTGCTGGGTTGGAAGATTCTACGCCTTGAGGAGCGTGTAATGCCCTGGCGCAATACTCACTAGGTCTTTCCTATTTGCTTGTCCTATATGTCTATTTGGTCCCGTATTTCGTGATATTCCCCAGTCCCTTCGAACTCGGCTTGTTTCCAATACTCAGGTATGGGCAGAAAAGGATCTATCGACGGGCAGCCATTGACGCCCGCTTGTCACCAAAGCTGTTCCTTGTGCTCTGATATCGAGTTAGGGATGCTTCTAAGAATCAGATTTCCAGTAGAAATTCTGCCCTTGAGAACCTGTTGAACATCAGCAGCATCCATCTCAGGGATCCAACCTTGCTGAAGAGGGAATATCCATTTGTGCTAGCTAATTTATCTCTTTACAAGTCTGGCCTGGCTCTTCTTCAATCTGGAGGTCAGGAAATAGCTCTCCTGTAGCCTGGCACGGCAGCCATGGAGAACCATCGCTCTTGCCCTATGTTCACCAGCTGCACTTCATGACTCCATCACAAACTAGAATCTTCCACAACTCACCATGGCAACCACTCAAAGGGCTAGAAATGTGAAGAGAGACTTGGAAAGAGTGATCCTTCACAGTCTTCAGCCCTTGAGGTCCCTCATAGTACCTTCCTTTGCCCAATCCTAACCCTAAGAAGAGAGAGTCAAAGATCTTCACATCTGTCATGCCCGCAAAAACTTTCCTTCTCTCCCATCTCCAAAACCAAGTCTGGCACGGAGTCAAGACAGTGTTCTTTTCATCCACAAAAACCTGTTCACATCTCAGAAAATACCACCACGCTTCTATCAATCATGGCACTCGCATTGAAGGGAAAATTCGAAGGCATAGATGCCAGGTAAGTTCCACAGGCCATATCCTCCCAAATCAGTTTTCATGCAACTGCTCTCTTGTCAAAAGTGCGACAAACCTGACTTCGATAGCAGTGCGGACTATGAATTGAGTGAGATGTTCGTAAACAGCGGACTCTGCGTAGTCTGCAAGAACCCAAGAGCCCGCGCTTGCCCCGGCTGTGAGCTGGATGACCATAAAGGGCCCCAGTACTACTGTATGCCCCAGTCTTTCCCTCTCGACAACAAAGGCCATCGACACGTTTGCGAGTGGGCCTACATGAGGCTCTACCTCGCCCGGGCCGCGTACGTGTGCAAGGCCATGGTTCTCCAGGGTCGGCTGGGGTGGGCCCATGACCACACTGACAATGTGGCTGCCGAGGTCCATCATGCAGATTCGATCTTGTGGCCCCCCCTCGGCCGCATCCAATATCCCGGCCCCTTCAAAATGAGCCTTTTGGAAAGGGCTGAGAGCGATTTACATCTGCTGTATGCGCCATTCTTCTGGCAGCTCATGGCTTGTAAGTTTTCATCCCCCTTCACCACACCATTTTCCAGGGAGGGGAGAGAGGGAGACTGAAGTGCCTGGATTGGGACGACGAAAAGAATGGGTGGCTAATCTTTGTATGAGAAGGCTTTCCTATCCGATCCATCGAAATCATCCACTTCGACGTCAACGATGCCAGCGTCCTCAAGTCCGAGAGAACGCTTGACTGGATTCCCACCAAGCACGTCGTATACAAGCTGGTCACAGACACCAAACCCAGCAAGACGTTGGCTTTCGATCCCGTTGGCTTGCGTGCTACCTGGACCACCACGGTACAGGACTGGGATGTGTACGAGGACCGAAAGATTCTCTCCATCGTCAAGCGAGAGCCCTGGGTCCAGGACATTGCCCAATTCGTCTTGAAACTCGGTCCGGGCCGTGACTTCCGTGAACAATTCCAGGAAGCCATGGACGTGGACTACGACGGTGTGTACCCCGACCTTGTGCGGGCTTGGGTCATTTCCCGAATCGGATGCCTGTCAGAGCTCTAGGGAGGCTCCATGGCAAACCTCGGCATCATGAGCGCGGAAAGGTTCACCAAGGGATACAGGAAGTATATGAAGATCTTCGATGCCTATTGCGGCGCGTATACACTCACCTCGCCCCTTTACCACGAGTGGCTGGACAGCCACCTGGCCGGCTGGCTCGACCTGATCGTCGAGCAGATTTGCTACAAGCCCAAGGAGGGCGAGCGTTGCGCTCCCAATTGTACGGGCTGTATCCGATGCACTTTTCCCTTGGCCCACAGGATCTGCCGTGCTACGGGTATACCCAAGGCCATGATTCATCCCCATAACCTGGTTCCTAGCCCATGTGTCATGCAGGACCGCAACAGGGGTTCGTCGTCTGGACCCTGCACTTGCGTGATGCCGCGCACGGGGAAGGGCAAGCGCAAGCTCTATCACTGTGGACATGAGTGAGGGTTCAAAGCACGATGCCTGCCGAACGGTGCAGATATGAGCGGATAGGCCAATGTTTGGTCAAGGCCAAGTCGAGTCGAGGGGGGTTGCCTGTTTGATGGGTTCAAAAGTCCTTCACCTTCGATGAGGGCTCTTTTCATTTTTGTTTCTTCTTCAGGTTCCATTTGAGATACTGAATGCGTTTCGCTCTTCTCTGGTTTCGCAATGGCGGTAGAGGCACGCAAATTCCCATCTGGCTGGGCTCCATCACCGAACTTCGTCTTGGCTCGTGAGGGAATTGGAATCACCCCATCGAAACTAGGTTATATAGAGCAAAGTCATGGACCGTTAGTTTGATATCGGCTTCCTTTAGCTCCAGCCCATTGTAGAGGCTGTATACAATCGAGCACCGTTTATAATCTAACCGCAAGGGGTGTACAACATCAAAGCTGTGAAAAGCGTAGGCTCTACTAAGAGCGCCCTAAAAAGACACTAGATGTAAATGCTATGTAGGCTCCCGAGTGTATCACAAGAAACATGAAGTGCTGGTGCCTTCTGAAGCGTAATCTCCGCTCCGGAGAATCGCTATTAGAAAATCAAGAGACGCTGTGCTACCGGAGAAAGTCACACACCACTGGCACAGCAGTAGGCACCTCGCCGGAGATGGAAGGTGTATCAACCTGAGGCTGGGATGCTACGTGCATCCTCGTTCTCAAGATACCAAGCTGGATATCGGGACCTGCGTTGTCATGTCTCTCGCTTGAGGAGCATGTTTGTAGGAAATACTGACGGGTACGGGCGGCTCAAAGCTTCAAATAACTCGTACTATCCTGACTATTTTGAAGATGGTTCTGTTTGCCGTTTTGAAGCTATCTGTCTTGGGTTTGATCTTCCTTTTCTTTTTGCTTTCTTCTTCTTCGGGACAGACGAGCCGCTTATTGGGATGACAAAGGCAACGTGGTTCACTTTGTGCTACTGAGATGGAAAGGGAAAGGGAAATCCAAGTGTTGCGCCTGTTGCACCGCTTTAACTCGACGGCAGCATGGTGGGCTTGGGTTCTCTCCAAGCCCTGCTGCGGCCTGCCGCTGTGCTTCCGCGTTTAAGACATTGTTCGTCAGCAGCGGACCCACGAGCTGAGATGTGCGGCGCTGCAGGAGGGCGATAAGAAAGATGGATGGATCGACTGGTTCTTGATCACTTGATGCAAGTGCAAAGGCTTGGGACATGGCGGATGGAAACACAAGACAATGATGGACAGAGGCAACATCTGATATGATGTGTGAAGTACCTCGTAAGCTGTGATTCTCGTGGGGTCACTTGAGGTACCGAGGTATTGAGGTATCTTACGTTGTCTGGTTTGAGTGGTTGGCATCTCGCATGCAAGGAAGGAAGCTCTTGGGGTTGGAACGTTGGATATTCCTTCTTCCCGATGCCAAGGGGATGGATACAAACCATACAGGTGCCGGAAACCCTGTTAGCGGGGCGGCAGGGCTGGCAAGATACCCTCCTAAGGTAGGGATGGCAGGTCGAGAGAAGACCTCTGATCTTTTTCGCCTCTGGTTTCTCATGCGGTCAGCTTGTGCATCTCGTCTCGGTTCGGAGCATGCTGCAGGAGTCACTTGGAAGGGATGGAGGCACGTTCCAGGATTGAGGCGGTGGGGGCTTGGAGAGCGGGGAATCGACATCGAGTCGTTTTCGTCGTTGCAGGAGGAGGGTAATATGGGTCTGTTCAGGCTTGGTGATGGGGCATTAGATGAGGCAGTGCAGTGCAGAGAGGACGCCGGTCTAGACAAGATGGCTTGGTTCGATGTGCGGTTGATGAAGCAAGAGATCGGCCCGTGCTGTGTCTACCAACATCAATACCTATTCGGATGGGTCATTTATGATAAGCTTAGTAGTAGATACTGAGCACTCTCGAGTTTCTCGGTCCGCCCGTGGGATACGAAATCAATACAAACTGAAAGAAGTGGTCATACTCGGTGGTGGCGCAACTCTCACCAACCGAAGCCAGGGGTCATGCCACGGCGGATGAGGGCAGCAGCAGCTTTAGCGGCCGACCCCGCTTTTAGCGCTCGGGCCGAGGCCGCCAGGCCTACACTGCACTACCTGGAAGCTGCACACTATGCCCAATGCTGGTGCTAAGAACGCAGGGTGGCACCCCCTAATGGCACTATTAACTTCGTCGCAGCCCGCTGGGTGAAACACACGGAGCCTGTGCCGTTGGAGGCCACCTGGTGCTTTCTTCAAGACTGGACCCTGGACCGGGGACCATCCGTCCGTTGCCTTCGTAAACTAGATTAGGTCCATGCCTTTGTCGTTGATTTTGGTCAAGCAGAGAATAGAGTCGAGTGAGGAAACGAACGATCAATATCGTGAGGACAGGGGACTCTAACCTCAATACTTCATGTACTTGACCATTTCTTGATGGGCAAAGTAGAGGTACATGAATCAACTGTCAAGTACTTTCGTCCTTGAGCTCTAGAATTCTCCCTAGGGCTGGGAACTCCTTCCAAGATTGTCCGGGGCTGGTAGCACCAAGTTCTGCAGCGTACACGTGACTCAGGGGACTCTGGACACTGTGACACCTGAAGAATCAATTCCCTTTCCAGGTTTTGTGCAAGCTCATGCGGTTGAGTCTTAAGTGACTCGCCTATCAGCGATGTCTGTCCACTGCCCATCCACTTCCTATTCCCCTTTGTGACTGGTGCAGGTAAACGTCCCCTGTAGAGGGGCAGATGACAGCACGGACTCATCATCATCGAACGAAAACAGTGAGGCCCCAAGTTCAGCCTCCTGATTTCCCAAACTAACCTCCTCTGCTTGATGGCTTGGGGAAGAGGAAGAGACACTCTGCAGGCTCCCATTTGAGCCAAGCCAAACTCTCCCGCTTTTACGAAGCACGTCGTCATCGCCTTTCTCCGCTCAAGCACCCGAATATCCTTGAAAGAGCTGCTGGTTCATCTCTTGTCAATCTCCTGGTGTCACAACCACGACACCGCTTGTTCTCAAACTAAGCTACGACCTTGCCCGTCGAATAATCCTTGCCCGGTCTGGACTCTCGCTTCCCCTCCTGATAATAAATCGGCCTCGTAGGACCGGTTCGACCAAGCTGCGAGTTGTGCTGGATCGACCAACAGAGGCTTGGTAGGCTCTATTACCTCGTCCTCCTAGGACTGTGACCCCAGCGACCGAACGAGCGACTGTTGGCCTGGCCTGGCCCTGTCACGTATGGGTCTCGTCCCCGCCGACCGCCCTTGTTATTATTGTTCTCGCGTCTTGACAACCGGCGACTCCTCTCGTCCACGACACGAAAACCGCTGTACCTCTCGTCAATATCGTGATTCCCTTGACTGCTCTTCTCATCTCCTCGCGAGACTTGCCGGTGTCATCACCGCCATCGTGAAGGAGATCAAAGAGAAGTAACACGGAGAGCCACCATAAAGTCCGTTCCCCTTCTCCTATTCCTTCATGTTCTCATCTGCTGGTGCTGCTGCTGTATACGTCCCACTCGAGAACTTTTGGTTGGACAATCAGTTCAAATCGAGCTTCTCCCATTCCTGTTCCGTCAATCCATTTTTCCCCGGTCCTATACCCATATTTCCTCCCCCCCTGGTCGGCAGTGCCTTATACCTGAACTTCCTGCCCAATCCTCCCGATTGTCTAGCCACCTGTCACTCCTGCGAGGCAAAAACCGGGACGACAATCTGATCCTCTCGTGTCTACTTTCGCCCCGGACCCAACTTATACTGACTGACAACTTCCGTTGGTTCATTCAGGGCGAACAACGAACAAAAAAACCCAGGTCCCTCCCGAAACAACGCACAATTTCAGAAGCGTAAGAAAAAGGGAGAAAAAAATTAATGCGAGTGGCTGCATCTGGAGTTATGCAGTCCTTGTTGAAACCCAATCATAGCTAGATGCATGCACGAGAACCGTCCACTCACGGCTGTCCAGCTGTTCATCCTGCCGCCAAAATAGGCCTGAAGTCGATACCACACGCCCCCTTTCGATAATAAATCGCAGCCCGATCAAAACGGAATCCTGTCCAACCCGTCTCTGAATGTTGAGGCTGACTAAGGGATTCCAATGGCTTTTCCCGACGGCGATGAGCTCGATAGGCGGTCCAGCCGAAGACGGCATCATCGAATGCCTTCCCCACCAGGAGAGAATGATTGGAGTGCAGGCAGTGGCTATCGCCATCATTCCGCGCCGTACAGGGATCGAACTGCCAAACGAGAAAAGATAGAAAGCAGTGACGCCAGGCCTCAAGCTTCTTCGTCCCGTCGACGCAGCAACCAGCTACCCGCCCCGCCGCCGTCCACCAGGCCCAACGCTGTCATGTCCCTCTCCCGTCGCCCTTCTGCTCCAGACAGGAAAAGGCGGGATCCCCCGATTCTCCACGACCACCACACTTCAGGCACGGATAGTCGTAGAAGTTCTAGAAAAGATTATATGGCAGCCTCGCCTCGTTATTTCGCCTCGACACCAGGATCTAAACAATCCTCGCACACCTCCGTCTCCGACTCCGATCGAGAATCCGCATGGACACCTTCGAGCCAAGACGACGATCACGACCCCCGCCGCAGCGACTCTCGACGTTCCCCGAGAAGGGCCACTCGGCACCATCGCCGGACACTACCTAGCGAGTCGAGATACTCGAGAAAGTCGAAAGTACCCTTGGTACCGGAGGTAGAAGAGAACGACGACGACTCTGACGACTCCACCGAAGAAGAAGACGAAGAAGACGATTCGGAAGAAGAAGAAACTGACGAAGAGGACTCGGACGAAGAAACAGAAGAAGACGAAGACGAGGAAGGAGAATCAAGGCACGTCTCAACACACAGATCTAGATCCAGAGTCGGGAGGCGTGGCGACTGGCCCGGTGAAGGGATCCGTCGACGCTCACCATCCAAACTTCGGAGTACACCGCCTCAGATCCGCCATCGTTTCCCCGACCCCCCTCTATCCGAAGATCCCTTGGCCGCTTATCCCACTTCGAGAAGGTCTGCAAGTCCCAAGCCATTTGTTAAGAGCTTCCTGGCTCGGTCGTGGTATTACTGGGTTGGCGGATCTTTTTGTTTGCTAACCCCAGATTAGGTCTTGGAGAAGGGGTCACGGTTCGGACATTGTCCATGTCAAACCTAAATCTATTCGGAGGTCCAATACACACGGCGGCTATCATACACCTGCTAGCCTCACGACATCCCCAAGACGGTCATCTCTGTTTGACCCTTTTTCTCGAGATTCTCACGGATACGAACGATCCGATAAACTGTGGGTCTTTCTTCCTTGTTCACTTTTTGTAGTCACGATCGTCAACCTCGAAAATTGCCCACTCCCCTGGCCACATCCACTTGCTTCATTCAGCTCGCTGACATGTTGGCTCTACTTGTTTCGTCCACCCACGTTCTAGGGCGAATTGTGCTATTTGTTTCGACGAATTGCCTACTGGCAAGACTGCCAAGCTAAAGTGCGGACATCGAGTGTGTTACGGATGCTTGAAGCAAAACTTCAAGCTCTCCGTTACAGACTCGCAACACATGCCTCCCAAGTGCTGTGACAAGATTATCCCGTTGAAGCACGTGGACCACTTATTCGACTCGGATTTTAAGCACGTTTGGAACCACAAATTCGTGGAACATTCGACGAAAAATCGACTTTATTGCCCTTCGAGGAAGTGTGGCACCCCGATCAAACCGGAGCACATCTCCAGAGAATCCGGACGCAAAGTCGGACGGTGCCCCCGGTGCAATACAAAGGTTTGTGTTACCTGCAGCGGCAAGTGGCACTCTTCGCGAGACTGCCCTCTCGACGAAACGACAAACAAGTTTCTGCAGCAGGCCAAGGAACAGGGCTGGCAGCGCTGCTACAGGTGTAGGGCGATGGTTGAGCTGAAGGAGGGCTGCGACCACATGACATGGTAAGATCCGAACCTATCATTGAGCTCAAGGCTGTTCCCTCTCATGCAAGCCACCTCACCACCGCCCTTATTTATCCCGCACACTTTACCGCTTTCACTTCCCGCCCCCCTTTTTTTCATCCGCATTTTTCAAGGGGTTGAGAAAAAAAAAAAAAAAAGGAAGGGAAAGAAGAGAAGACACCACCCTCCCTCTCCAACTAACATGTGTGACATGATCCCATCTATTTATACCAAGTGCTAACCTCTCATTCCCCCCCAGTCGATGTGGTGCCCAGTTTTGTATGATATGCGGTGAAAAGTGGAACACTTGCGACTGTGCTTTCTTCAACAATGACCCGATAGAGCCCTATGACGATTTTGACCCTGTTCCCGTCCCCACACTAGCTAGATCAGAGACATTCCCCATGACGCCTACTTACCGAAATGGCTCCTCTCGATTCGTGCCACCTATGACGGCACCGCCGCTAGGGCGACGAGGAGCAAGTGATTTGGATGACGAGGTGTTTGGGCACTCGGTGCACTCGGCACACGAGTACAGAGAGCGAGACTTGGCTGCGCGATTCGAGAGGCACTCGACCCCTCGAGATCATCGCTACCGAGAGCGTTCCCATTCCCATCTGCGTCCGCGTGACGCATTTGAAGATAATCATCGGGTAATGATGGAGGATGAGCATGACGATGACGACGATGATGACGGTTACGATTATGACGATGACGATGACTATAGAGGGCTCGCCGGTGTCGACGAGGCGCTTGCTATCAGCCCCAGGAGGAGGAGAAGGGTCGGTGGTGGTGCTGGTGCTGGTGGCGGCGGCGGCGGCGGTGGGGGGGATGACTACATGAGAGGAGGGACGGTTGTTCCGCCAGCTCCCCCCACCGTTCCCCATGGATATGAAGCACCCGGCGTCCCGCATGGATTTGACCGAAGTACCAGGACGGCGGCAGACTACATTTCCGACGTCAGCAAGGCGCGAGGCGTCAGGGGGTCCTCGATGGAAAGACGTCTCGCAGATAGATTCTCCCCTCAGCGGGGCGTCCCGCACCCGCAGCTCCAGCCTCTCCACCATATGCCCCCTCACATCCATCAGCAACACCCGCCATCCCCCTTGTCCCCTTTGATGCCGATGGGCGGTCCGCACGGCCACGGCCACGGCCCTCTTCCACCCCATGTACCAATGATGCCCCCGCCCGTGCCTGCCGTTCCTACGCTAATGAGGCGGCATACAGGGGACGAGGACGCTTTCAACATGGGACGAGGGGCACGCGCCCCCGAGAGGGCCGGTCCCGGCCGATCGTCGCGGCACGAGTACCCCGAAGAGGCTATGATGCACGCGCCGATGACGCATAGGCGGCGGCATTCGGATGACGGAGTGACACCGAGATCTACGATGGCGGGGTTGACGGGCGCGGGTCGGGGGATGAATCGGGTGTATGAGTGGAGGAATTACGTTGAGCCTGGGCTTCCAGGATCGGCGGAAGAATCTATGGCGCCGGCTCCCACGCCGACTCGCCAGCGGTTACACTACTAGCACGCAAGATTATTCGATATTTTCGTGTTTCATTTTTCTCCGTTTCATTGTTTCTTTTTTTTACATTTTTCCGACATTTATTTACTTTGTATGTCACTCTGGTATGGGATGGACGTTTTATTTTCTATCAAAGGTGATGTGAAAGAAACAAACCTAACTCATGTTCGGAAAACACCAGACATTCCTTCTCTTGTCTTATCTACCTTTCTCTCACTTCTCGCTCTTTAGGCATCTGTTGAGATTTTCTGTATAAACGACAATTTTGAAGGCGGTGTTGCCCCGTACGTATCGAATAATATCTATGGTTTTTTTTTTTTTTTTTTAGTAATATTGATGCTTGATCCTTTGGTTTCCGTTTTGCAACCGTGTCTTGCGACCGAAATCCTTGGTCCTGAATCCTGTTCGTGAAATGGGAAATAGGAACTAGGAAATAGGAGCGCGGCATTGCGCAGCAGAGGAGCTAGCTCAATATCGGCTCCTTTTGGGATTCCGGATCATTACCAATTATCCAGAACATGGATTCTGCCTCGTCCTAATCTCTTTTCCTTCCGCGGGTTACTCCTGTGTCAACTTGGCCTCTTCTCTCCCCACAGCGATCTCAATACTTTTTGCTGGGGGAGGGCTTATTTGATCGGGATATTGATGATTTGTTTCTTTAAATAGATTGGCGAAGTGGGGAGCTTTCCCTTGTCTTGGGAACCCGGGAACTAAGCGTCTTAAGACCGAGGTAATTGTGGGAATGTCTTGCAAGCCAGATCCCGGACATGTTTGACGACAATTGTACTACTTTTGACGTTTTAGTCTGCCAAGAAGAGCCCAGAGTCGCGTTGAACTCAACAATCTTACTTCAGTCGGGACAATAAGACACAGCAACACAGCGACGACATATCGCCTAGACCATGGGGGAAAGCGCCGAGTGACCCCGAAAAAAATCAGGTTGAATTTTTAAAAAAGGGATTAGACTGACACCAGGTGGATTCGATCGATTTGCTTCTTATGTTCTGATGTTTTTTGGCTCGAAAAAAAACGGATCATTTTTAAATTGGAAGGGATGTGGCAGTGCGGAACCTGTTGTAGATGTCTTCATAACTTCGTAATTGCGCTCCGCCGGAGGATTCGTCTTTTTAGTTCGAAGAGCAGGGCTTTGACAGCAGTTAGTATTCCGCGCTATGCTGGGATTCGAGAAAAGGAAGAAGACGTGACCGATTTCGCGGGTTCTTGTAATATCGTCGGGGCGGAGGAGGGATTTCGGCCGCTTGCAGGGGCTGTTTCTTTTATTATTCCTTGCTTATGGCTCTTAGCTTCGGATCGGCTTCGGGGTCCCTGTTACTATTATCTCTATTCTCTGTCACTTTTTGTTAGTCCCAAACCTGCGAGCCGGATCTATTGTCTCAAAGATGATATCAAAATGAAGAATGAATCTGTTCTCGCAATGGATCTCAAGCTTCGAATAATACCAAAAGCGCGACTAGAGCTCCTTCGACTCCCATCTTGTCCATCCACACCGCAAACATGTCCGGACATCGCATACTTTACGAGGACTCTCCCACGACGATATACTGGGATGCCACACGCCCGACGGCACCTCCCCCTCGGACGGCGACGCCTCCGTCGCCTGCCCGGTCACCGTCCGCCTTCACGGTCTCTCCTCTTTCAACACGGGGGCCGGTATTACCCAGCGTGAGAAGGAAACCACTCGAGCAAAGGAGACCGAATCAGTCGACTGCGGGGTACTATGAGGATCCGGAGAGAGAGGCCATCGAACTCCGGGAGGCGGCAGCCGCTGGGGTGCCGTTCCTGAATATAGAGGAGGCACTTTACACGGAGCCCGTGAATAGAACGAGCGGAAATCCTTGGGAAGAGCGTGCTACACAAGCCAGCCGCGAGTGGGGGGTTCTAAAAGAGGAGGGCGTTAGGAGGACAGATACGGCGGATACAGGGGTGGGCACGAACGATGAAGAGTCTGGGTTGGGTGTTAATTGGAAGCCGAGATATCTCACAAGGAGAATAGTAGCGTCGTTTGCCGCCGTGTTTGTTGTGCTCGTCATCATTGTCGAGGCCCTCGCCGGAGTTGACCGGGAAAGCAGCGGACTCGGCTATCCAAACGGGGGAGTGTCAGTGCTATGGACATACGGCCCACCAGCTAGTAAGTTAGGGGGTGTCGTGCGGACTTCGAAGGGATTTCCTCGTGTCTTTTTTTTCCCCTTTTCGGCTAACCGTTGTCTTCCTAGTCCTTACGGTCATAGCAGCGCTCTGGAGCCGAGTCGAATTCCAAACCCGACGATTCCTCCCCTGGATCCACCTCGCCGGAGAGAAGAGCGGACCCCGCGACGCATCAGAAACCTTGCTCCTCGATTACAATAGCACGGGAATGCTGAAAACCCTCTTCCTGTCTGCCAAGCGGAAACACTTCCTTGTCACAGCATCGATAATAACGCGTATCCTCCTTATATTGCAGATTGTCCTCTCGACCGGCTTCTTCGCCATCCAGGAGTCGAGGACAGAAGTCGACGGAGTGGCTTCCGTGCTTCGCCGCTTCATCCTACATTCCCAGCTTCGCTTCGGCGACAACCAACCAGCCGTGATAACCGTTACTGCGGTTGAAGAAAAAAGACTGCGGGTATCGCCGGGTGTTGCGCACGCGATGGCCGTGTTTTTTGTGATATCTGCTCTCTTAACAAGCTGGATGGTGTTCTTGGTTCCGACGCAGGGCATTGCGCCGAGGAATCCAAACTCCCTAGCGTCGATGGCGACTCTACTTTCGAATAGTCCGGGTATCTTGGGCAGGCTTCGAGACGTCGACCATGATAATGCAGGAGCCGTCGCGGGCAGGTTTGAGGGGTTGTTTTACACCAAGGTGGAAAGGTATACGACGGATCCCCCACACATGGCGAGATTCATAATCCGTTGCGTGGCCGACAGAAGACCTTCCTCACAGAAAAGGAGGGAGGCCAAACAGGCCGACGCATTCGCCGTAAGAGATACTTACAGCCCGTTAGTTCTGCGTCCCGGCACGCGCATGGTCACCATGGCCCTCACCATCGGCCTGGCGGTGGCGTTATGGGGCACCCTCTCCCACTCGAACAAATACCGGGGGCTCGCCGAGGTGGGACTTACGCAAGCGCAAGTTGCCGCATGGACGATATTTCCCGCCGCCATTTTCATGTCTTTGACACTTTATATCTGGGCCGTGGATTCCGAATCTCGGTTCACGGCGCCGTTTTTGGATATTTTTAGGGGGTCCAACTTCTCGCGTGGTATGGCCACGACGTACATGGATGAAATCGCTCCCGTGACGTTATGCAAGGCTGCCAGACGGAAAAGCTGGAGCGTGCTGGTGACTACGACAGCGATGCTTCTCGTCACGTTTGCGCCCATTCTAGCCGCGGGGCTGTTCTCTCCGGAGAGTGTTGAGCAGCAGATAGCCGTCCAGATACCACCAAGGGAGGTCATCTCTGGTGGGGTAGACGTCGAGGTGGTTAATGAAGCGAGTGTGGTGGCGAATTCAATACTAAGCCATTATAACACATCGTATCCGGCTTGGATATATGAGCATGTTGTGATCTCCGGGTCCGAACCCACCAGTGGAGACTTGTCGGAGGAAGACAGGATACAAGTGAGCCTCCCAGCTGTTCAGGTCGAACTTACATGTAAGCGTCTCATGGCCAGTTCTGGAGAGCTGTCCGATATCGAGTGCGAGCTTCTAGAACCTAGAGGAGATGAGCTCCTCCGCGCCAACAACGGCACCTCATCCATCACGTCAACCATCGCAAAACGGTACGCGCTCATCCGCGCCCAAACCCTTTCGGCCTCCTCCTCCCCAACGGCGCTCGCAGACGAGGGACAGCAGGAGCGATCCAGAAGAGCGGAAGTTATACACACGCCCTTCTCCTCCCTTCGGCTTGTGCAGAAGCCCGTGCCGACGTATATTCTAGGAACCTTGCTGACGGCGACGTTCCTGCTCTCAGTGGTCGGTCTGTGGCTGGAGCCGAAGGGGGTTTCGCTGCCGGCGCGTTGTTGTCCGGGGAGCGTTGCTGGTGCTGCGGGGATGCTTGATTCGTGGGGGGTGTTTGAGAGGATTCCGGTAGGTGGAGAGTGGATGGATGAGGAGCAGCTAGAGGGGCTTTTCATGGATGGGTGAGAAGAGGACGGTGGTGGAAGTAATGTAGGAGAAGGATATTATGGACTTCAAAGAAGCAAGGGGAAGAAGCGATATTTTGTACTTGGATCATTTGACAGGTTTCGGCGTTCTCGGCGTTGGAGAGGTTCACAAACGGGAGGCATGAGAGGCGTTTCGAGTGAAGTCATTGAGCGTGACCGAGGCATTGACCACTCGGCTATATTTGATACAATTTTCCTCTAATTATCTTACAATTTGATCTTCTAGAGCTCCTGGACACAATTATCATTCGTGATGCTATTCGAGGTGCCTCAGAGATGAGAGGTCAACTTCGCTTGGGGCCAATCAAGTGAGCTTGGTATAGCAAGATAGAAGAGTAACTTCCATCAAGTGACGGGCGCATGGTTTAGTGGTATAATTCCTCTTTAGCATAGAGGCGGTCCCCGGTTCGATTCCGGGTGCGTCCATCTTTTTTTCCTCTTGCCTTCTCTGTATTTTTCTATTTGTTTTCTTTTTTTTTTTTCTTTTCTCAGTTATTATATTCTGCAAATAATTCATGTCATTTTCTTAGGATATTTCTCTCTTCTTTTCACTAGTCAATTGAATCGAAATCATTGTCTGGAATCATCATGATTAAAGCTGTCGGCTTCTCCCTCCTCCCCTGCTCCTTCCAGCATTACGTCGATCGTGATTGGTCTCGGTATCGGCAAATCGTAAACCCGCCCCGAGCTCCTTCGGTCCAGTCGCGGGAATCCGCCCGGCGCAGAAAAAAAAAAAAAATACTGAACTTTCCAGAAGCTCTTAGAAAAAAAGGACCAATTGATATCTCTCCCTTTTCCCCCAATTTCCAATCGTCAACTTCTCCCATCTCGCAACCTCGCTTCCTTCGTCCTTTCTATATCGCCTCTTATATCCAGCAGCTCAGGCTCTAATTTGCCATCTCCTAATAATTCACAATGGTGAGTTTATTTTTATTTTCCCCAGCACTTTTATGCCTGCAGGATAAAGAGCTTCCAGCTCTCTCAGCTCCAGCTCAAATAACCTCGGGAAAAAGCTTCGCAAGCTTTCATGATCCCAACAACACAACTAACGAATATCACAATCTAGGCCACCACCGTCCGCTCCATCCGCTCCCTCATTCCCCTCCTCGACCGCGTCCTCGTCCAGCGCGTCAAGGCCGAGACCAAGACCGCCTCGGGCATCTTCCTCCCCGAGTCCAGCGTCAAGGAGCTCAACGAGGCCAAGGTCCTCGCCGTCGGTCCCGGCCTCCTCGGCAAGGATGGAAAGAGGCTGCCTATGGGTGTTGCCGCTGGCGACAGGGTGTTGATTCCTCAGGTACGATGAGAGAACTTGTCTCCCAATCCGTTCTTCCTAGATGCCATTGCGAAGAAGAAGAAGAAGAAGAAGAAGAAAAGGATTAAGTAACAACTGGTGGCTAACTTGATTTTCGTGGTTTAGTTCGGTGGTTCCCCCGTCAAGGTCGGTGAGGAGGAGTACCAACTCTTCCGAGACAGCGAGTACGTCCTTTTCCAACCTGCCTTCTTCTTCTCCCTCTGAGATGAGATTTCTTTTCTAACTGAAATTGTATAGAATTCTCGCCAAGATCAACGAGTAAAAGAAGCCACTCATTCTCTTTTAAAAAGAGGGCACTTGGCTCTGTGAAAAAAAGCGATATATTAAAACACCTGTACCATAACTTTTGTACCACCAATAAAACAAAAATTCCAACAATTCGAACTCCCACCCCAAGGAACCGAAATTCATGAAACGATACGACTTGTCCAGAACCAGGAAGAAACACGAATCCCTGGAAACCGAGTCCGTATCATTGCGGAACGAGGTGTTTGGGAAGAAGGGCGGGGGCTACACCATGTATAGACTGGGGAATCTGTAGATTCGGGACTGGGGAGTGCACCCCCAGGTCCTCTCTCACCCATCCTTGTCGGGGATGGGCTGTGGTCTGGGTATTGGTGATGGATTGATTGGTCTTGTGATAATGCTTGTGTTATTAGTATGCCGAGGAATCTCCACTCTCTATATAAAGCGTGGCCTTCAATGTCCCTTTCTGTTGACAAGTGTACACTGCCATGATGAGAGCTCTTCCCTCCCAGCACAGTAAGGCATGGCTCTCCGTTGGGTCATCGGATGTAATCTACGCCAACCAGGGTCTTTCTTACCAACGATACGCGGGAACATCAATCTTGATTCAAGTTCCACGCCACACCAGAAGACCAAGATGTCGACGCAATCCGTCTAGTTGTCATAAAAGCTATCTACTACATACATCGCTTCTATTAGTATGCCCGTCAAGCCCACTCTACCCTTTATACAAAAGAACCTTAATCCCCGGCTCCAGGATCCAAATTCAAAAGCAACAGAAAACAAGTAGACCTCTATCATGCTCTCCCTCCTACCTTTATCCATCCCGCTTGTGAAGGAAAAACCAATCCAAGGCCACCATATGTCCTTGTAACAGAAAAGCACAAAGTCCGAAAAAGAAAAGAGAGAAAATAGGTAAAAAGGTAGAAACGCGGGCGAAGAAGAAACGAAATACATTGCGCTTCCCATCAATCTGCCGCCCCTTCTCGCCGAGAATAATACTCCAATTCTGTTTTCCAAGTTATGTATCGCTCTGTCCCATCTAATTGTGAAAGAACCGCCTTTTGTAATACCCTATAATTCGAAAGAAATCTTATTTTGGAGAGCCAGATATATCGCCTTAACACCGAATAATTCAAAACCCGAAACGTTTGCGAAAACAGCCAGATAGTTATGAAAGGGTGGTATAATGAGATCGGAGAAAAAGCAAGGGTGTGGGAGTGAAAAGACAAAAAGAAAAAGGTAAGTGGGAGGAAGCGGAAGAAGGAGAGAGAGGTCTGCTACCATTAAATCCATCATTTGTGTTATCGTTTCCTCCTCTTCTTCTTCCTATTCTGCTTTCCCTTTCGGGCCGGGTAAGCCGTAATGTGGTGTGTATTCCTCTAGACTGCATTCTTCTTTGCCGCATCTTGACCGTTAGAGGGCGGGGCTGCCACAATCAACGTGTGCTTATGGCCGGGTGCCTGGATGACCTGGCCCAACGGGGTCTCTCGGCAGATGACGGTATCGGCAACCCACGGGTCGCGGATAATCTCTTCCATCTTAGCGCGCTTTTTAGGGTCGACCTCGAGCATGCGCCAAATAATGTTCCGGCTCTCCCGAGGGAGCTGCCGCAAGATCCTCCAGGGTCCCGAAATAATCTCTCTCCTCTCCGTCGCCTCGGCGCCTTGGGACTGAGATCTCTGCTTCGCCTCACCGTTGGCACCACCGCCCTCCCTTTCCCTTCCGCCACGATCTTGACTATCAGGACTGGCAGGGTTAGAATCGGGAGAGCTGAGTTTGAGCTTGCTGAGGCTGACAGCCGATTTGGATTCGAGGAGAAGGTGCTTAGGATCGTGTCCGGCTGACGGCGCAGAGGCGAAGAGTCTGAAAGACTTGTCCTGGGTCACGGCCGGAATCCTCCAGGGGAAGCGCTTAAGCGTCATGCAGCAGAAAATAATGCCGAGAGACCAGATATCGCTTAATCGGGGATCGTAGGCCTTGGTGTGGGGGTCATAGACCTCGGGGGCCATGTAAGGGTCAGAGCCGACAACGCCTAATGCCTCGGTGGTTAGTCGATCAGAATACATCTTAAGTAGTAAAAGAAGAGGAGCGAAGCAAGTAGGGTAACAGATATCGTCGTACCTTCCGCATAGTGAATGGCAGTCTCGTGGGGATACTGGAAGACGTGGGCGCTACCGAAATCAATAATTTTCATAATACCGCCGTTCGTAACCACCACATTGTCAAGCTTCAGGTCACGATGAGCGACGCCGCAGCTGTGAAGATACGTTACGCCACTCAGTAGTTGCAGCCAGCAGCAGGTAACCTCCTCACGCGACATCTTGCCCGACATGACAATGGAAAAGAGGTCGTAGGGCGCAAACTCCATGACCTGGAACCATCGGTCGCGGACCTCGACAATATCCATGGTCTCGATGATGTTGCTGTGATGAAGAGCTGAGGCGACGCAGAACTCCGCCGTGATCTTCTTGGTGTAGCGTCGCTTCGATTCTCGCGCCTGCCTCTGGCGGAACTCCTTGACGGCGAATGCCCTACCGTCATCGCGCTTCATCAGCATTACGCTGCCTCCGGCGCCCGATCCCAGGACACGATCAATCTTGCCGTATTTGGACTCGAGGAGATGGTCGTCGGAGAAGGGCGCAGTCTCACCGCCCAGTGGAGACGGAGATTTCCTGCCAGCCTTCTTACTACTACGGGCAGTAGGAGACGTTGCGCGCTTGTTGGACTCGCCGGAAACAGCTCGCTTGAAGAATCGCTTGAGAGTGGCAAAGGATCCCGTTTTGCCGTCCTTCCCAAAGGATCTGGTAGTGTCAGTACGAGTTGCATCGTCTCCGGGCGCTTTAAGAGAGGAACGAGCAGGCCCGTGCTGCCTCTTCTCCGAGCCGTGGTGGGCATGAGAGCAGGAGCTAGCGCTGCGCGACTCGGTCCTATCCTTGAATCGGAACCTGGGGCTCACAGACCGTTTAGACGCATGTTGGGCCTGCGGCCTCCGGTTTTTCGCCGCATAGGGACCATCCACCTCGCCCGCCGATGGGGTAACGGGCCGGGAATAGAGCTCGGATGCCCTTGACGGGCTGACATCTCGGGAGGCTGAGGCGAGACCACCGGCCGCGTCACCTCCGAGAGAGAAGATTCCCTTTCGGTGCGCCTTGTGGTCCTCAGAAGTGTCACCACTTGGATGCGATCCGTAGCTTTGACGAGGTTGGGGTTTGGGCCGAATCGTCACCATTCTCTCGTTAGATTGACGGGGAGGCTCTTCGACAGAGCTCGAGTGCTGCGGGGTAATCATCTGGGGCTCGCGAAGCTCGTGAACCCTTTCGGAGTTTGGTGATAGTTGTTTGTCCGGAAAGTCCGGGTAGCCAGCAGTGGCCGCCGGGGTCAGCGGCGGGGATTGCATGGCTTGATGAGGGCGGTTGACGGCGTTTACTGAGGAAATCATCTCCTCATGATGTGCCTTGGTGGGACTGCCTTCGACTGATGTCGTCTGAGTAGGAGAAAGGATGTGTTAGCTAAAGCTCGAGGTTTTCTAGAAAAAAGAGAATGAGAAGGACATCGCCAAGAGCGCCAAGAGCCTGAAAGGAAACGGTGGGGCCAAGCCGCGCAATACACATCGGAGTTAAGCTAACAAGAGTAGAGCATAGGATGAACGGCCGACAATAAATCTAGAAGAGCAGGACGAGAAGGGATAAAAAGAAACTCAGGGGCCAAGTATGCTGTGGCGAAGGAATTGGACAAAGCTTGGCCAATGAACCATCGACGGGAACGGGCGACGGCGCAGGGGGGTAAACGAAAAGAAAGAAGAAGAGAAAAAAAAAAAAAAAAAAAAAAAAAAAAAAAAAGATTTTAAAGTTTGTCCAGGGGGGGCAACTTACTCTCGATGCGGGTAGGGAGACGGGCTCGAAATGGAAGTGGGAAAGACGGCGCTCCTTGGGAAAGTCTCGACAGAAATCGAACTGGCCTGGTGCGGGAGCTTGGATTGGAGCTGATACTATTGCAGGTGGGAGGTTGTTCTCGACTACAGCTGGGGAGATCTCCTCGACGGTGGGAGCAAAGTGAACTGCGTGCTGGTCGTGCTGGTCGTGGGGGCCGGCAGGGGGTTCTTGAGCTCGAGCGACCCTTGGGGCATCATCGGAGGTTCTGGGATCTAATAAAGGGACCGCAGGTGTTAGTCGAGACGGGACGGGACGGGAGAAGAATTAGAAAGATGTGACTGAGACTTGGAAAGTCCAGGTAGTACACGGGACAGACATGGCGTATGCCACAAGCACAGAGAACTCCGGTGTCGCGCGTGGGCTCTGAGTTCACATTCACACATTCACGTTCAATATTGAACTATGGGAGGAGGTGGAGGGGTGGATCAGATGCAATCAATGCGCGGCGTTGCGTTGTGCTGTGCGTGGCTGCGGCTAACTTCACTGTTGGAGCGGAAAGGCCAACAACGTGGGGTCGCCGTTGGTCCGGAAGGGTCGGAGAAAGTGGATGGGTAACTTTGAACTTACCCATGCTGTGGACATTAACTTGGCACTCGAGGATACTTTTTGATGCCTAGAACTGGGGCTCTTGCGCAAGCGGTCGGGCCACGTTGGCTAGGGGAAAGAGTTGATCAATACTGATTTGACGTAGGCTTGCACCGCAGATGGGGGCCGGATTGGATGAAAGAGGATGGTCGCGGAGGGTGAGATAAGTACTTTGTAGTGATAGCGGACGGAATCAGAGGTCAGAGAGGGGTGGCATTCGCAATTCGAGTTGAGGGCGGTGAAGCCGCAAGCGAGTTGGTATCGACAAGGTCCAGGTCCAGGTCCAGGGAGTCCAGGTAGTCCAGGTAGTCCAGGTAATATCGATGGATGCCTCAATGGACGAAACGGATCGACACAAAATGATGCGATACGGGAGCAATTGGAGGTAATTGGAGACGATGCGCGTGAGGAACATGCGCCGTTCGCTGTCTAAGGCCGGAGATCTCGAGCGACCGAGGGGACGATGCGATCTCGACCCAAGGGGTAGTGGGGGAAAATAATAAGGAAAAAAAAAATTAACCAAAAAAATGACAGGGATAAAAGAGAAAAAGAGAGAGTAAGATTCTTGGCAAAAGGAAGGAGATAAGTGATGCCACTGATGATTGATGGCGGGGTAGAAAAGCAGGTTGCACCTGCTTGGAGTTTTTTTCGGGTGCGCCGGCTTGTTGGCGCTTGGGATGAGGGCAAATGCAACCGGGTCTCAGGCCGAGAAGAGCACTAAGGTCGATTATCGTGAACGGAAGTACACTACCTGTGTGACTGCGACCGCGACTGCGACTGTGACCGCGACCACATGTAAAACCACACTCGCACTTTCCGCTTCAGATCTAAGAGGAGGAGGGGGGGAGGGAAAGAGCACAACGCAGTGCAGGCCTGGGATTCTGGCTCAGGTCGCACTTGCCTGGCTTCCTGGAAAATGAGAAAAAAAAAAAAAAATGACGGTGGGGTCCGGTGGGTATAATACGACAGGTACGACAGGGAACAATTGAACAAATTGGAAGTACTCCGGTCAAGTCCCACTACAGAGTACAATTGTGCGTATGCTTGAAGTACATGCAGCCCAGGCTGTGACGGTTGGAATCTTCAGTCTTCAACCGAGTCCGGCCGGGCTTTCGATCATTGGGGCATGAGAATGAAGTTGACTCAGGTTAGGCAAGCGGGTCAATAGAGGAGAAGAGAACAATATTGATGGGTAGTTTTCGGGGAGAAAAAAAAAAAAAAAAAAAAAAAAAGAGGGAAGAAGGTTTACGAGGACACAAACTCGACCTAGAACAAGTAAGTTCTAGCTAGTTGCAATTGCATCAATGTGTTGCCACCGACGAACACACCCCCGAAAGACGGAGCAGAAGCACGCAGTAAGTGGTAGCATGCAGTGGAAACTAGAAGCACGAGACGAGGCTCAAAGGAGTCAAAGGTATCCCGGCCGGCCCCGGAGGCAGACTTAAATGGACGGATGGAGCATGGTTTGAGCCGATCGAGTGCATTGCATTCACTGCATCTCAATGATCCACTATACAACCCGCTTGTCAAACTTTGTTTTGTGCCGAGCATATCCATTTTGTTTGCCATTCCATATCGTCAACCCGTCCACATAATCCCTGAAGATCTGATTTGGGAGAATTACATACATGATTCGTCTGGTGAATCTATCCTGTATCTTGATAAACCGTTGAAGCAACCCATACCGTTAATTATAGAGCAGGGCCTCCGATTTCTACTAGAGTATGCACCTACTCGTCCGGTCCACACAAGTAGCGGCGTTTACCTGCCACCAAGTCCTGCCGTTTATCCAAAGATCATAGCTTTACTTGTTGCTGTCTGTAATGCCATTCTTAGCTAGCGGAGCAATCCTCGAATGAGATCCAGAAACTCGTCCCTCTCTTTACCGTCTTCCAATGATGTTGCAAGATAGTCTAGAGTCCTCCCTACAGGTATAGGAACGATGCCTATCCAATTGCCTAAAAAAAGAGATATAAGTTTACCATTCCCATCCCAGTGTTTATGTGATTTCGAGCTCCTCTCCAGGAACTCCAATGGAGGGGGGGACTGAGGAGGGCAGTCATATTGGCTAGATGATGCGCTTCGTTCCGTGCTGGATCGTTGGGGTCATAAATGTGGAATAGACTTTCTGGTTCGAGGAGATCCCAGGCCTAGCAAACAATAATATGTTATATATTAGAAGGCAATGGTAGAGGACAGGGGGAGGGGGCTTACTAGGAGCCCGACACTCCACATATCTGCCAAATGACCCCAGGACAAGCCGAGAATGATTTCCGGTGCTCGATACTGAACAGGCATGGCAATCCCCTCGTGCTGGTTGCCAATACGAGCCTCGCCGAAGTCGCAGAGATAGAGTGGGCCAAAGCTCTCTAATAAGAATTGAGAAACATGAATCGTGATACCTTCCACCATTTTCCTCGACGATGGTCTAATGAGTTCATTCTCCCCAAATTCCGCAAGCTGCGACTCATCTTCGACACCGATAAGGAGATTGCCTGCATAGACGTCTTTGATTCGAGCTTAGATAGGAATGGGCACAGAAGTCTAAGATAGCAAGAGCTGCCGTACCAGTTGAGTAAGATTTGCAGGACCGTGGAGGAAGTCCAGAGCAGCCAGGACTCGTTGAAGGGCTATTACTACGATTGGCTGGGCAAAGATGTGACGCGGCATCATGTATTGAAAGGCTCTCAGGCTTAGGCCAAGTGGAGGCAAGACAAAAACTTCATGTGTGCCATGCGGCCCTTATAGCTTGAAAGAATCCTCGAACATTCGAATCATTTCACGGCCTGGGTGATCTGACTTGACACTCTCCAGACATTGATAGACCTGTAGCTCTCGGTTCGGAGTCAGAGCATTGATATGCACCTTGAGCGTCAATATCGGTGATCCCTTGAGAAATGACTATCAACACCACGATTCTCTAGCTCGAGGTGGAAGCTTACAAGAGATCATGACAAAGCCACGTCGTCGAGGTCGTCCCATAGCCAAGCTTAGCAACGGCCTGATACCGGTTTTTGAAGAGTTCGCCGATACGAACGGGATAGAACATCCTCGAGCTGTAGAATGGCAACGTTTCCTCCTCGACCTTAACCGATACGTCAATGGTCTCGAACCTGCTGGATGGAAATCTACGGGGCACCAGTGGTTCTCTCAGTGCCGAGAAGGAGACGCACTTGGCAGATAAACGTAGCGAATCAAGTAGAATATTCGGACGGCACCTAGTGGCAATCTGGCGAATGGTCTGAGGTGCATTGGCTATGGATCTCTTGCTACAATGAAGCATGGTACGCATGGATGTAGACATCAAAACGGAGAAACTGGGTGTCGGCGTTTGAAGACGCTATCAAATGGTCGCGGTATTTGTTCTGCTCATTTCTGTTCTAAAGAAAGTAATTGATTGGCTGAGTATGAAATCTATTTATGGTGTCAAGGGACCTAACTGACATCCGACATTCCCTGAAATGGACAAGAAGTAGGAGTTAAATCAACATTTTCTGCCCTTGAAAATTAGTTCTTCCTCGTGCTCCTTCTTTCGTCCGTTAACAGTATCTACATGCATGTCTGATGAGAAAAGGCCAAAACCGCAGCCAATAGATCCATGATCTAAGACTTCGTACTTCATCGTTTACTTCGGTGATGTACACTACCATCGATGACTCTTCTCGTTCACCTAATCAAGGACCAATTTCCCTACAGGGCTAAGTATCTGTCTACAATGCAATTGTACTTACAAAGTAGCTTGAGCTGTTGCTCGATCCGTCCTATTGATCCATGCACATTCTCGCTAGTCGTCACCGAGAGTGGGACTAACACCCTGCTGTCCAATCTGCTTGACCGCTTACCTCTCAACATCCTAATCTGAAGGGTGGAGCCAAGTGTAACCGCCTGCGAGTCACCCAAGAATCAAGATACGAAGGACTCGAAGCTTACCAAGATCAGATTTGTATCCGCTACCATTGATATGGTTTCCATGCAGGGCGACACCGAGTGCAGGGTACCTCGTACACTTTATATCCATGTCCGTCTGCCGCAACCGGCTTCTTCTGATATCGGGAGCATCAAGTTATTGGCGATTGCGAACGAACTAGACAGAGTCAAACTCGCGATATAATGATTTATAAATGGGTACTATGGGTCCTGCCTCGCAAGCCTCGAGCCTCAAGCTTTCTCGTATCTGTAACCATCAACTCTGTTTCTTGAAAATTTTCCTTGTTAGAGACCCGCTCAGGCACGCAGCAACCAGAGATCCATTGCATTTTACCAGGATGGATCCTTGTCTCAATACAAGGGTTAAAAAAAGACGACAGAAAAACTCAAACTTTGCCACGGGCAGAACATCGAAGCTTCCACACTTCCATCAACCGATACCACGACCATCGAATCATTTTCTTCATCACACCCCAGTAGCTATCGAATCTATACGACCCAATCGTTCAGGTACCCGACCCAATTGAGAGGTTGAGCCCAAGCACCAATAGATCGGTTCTAGGAAAACTCCCCCTCTCCTCTTCGTCAACCAGACCCCCCACCTACACCCTCTTCCACTTCCACACTCTCAACGAAACCCGACATCGAAGCTTGTCCCCTTCTCGAAGAAGAACGGAAGAGGCACCGGGACTTAGTACGTTTCACTGGCCCGTCCCACGTTGAACCTTGTAGCCTTCCGTTCTATTCTATTTCCGGCACTTTTCTCGTCGTGGTGCGGGCACCATCGTGGAAAGTTAGGCACCGCCGCCATCTTCTAAACAAGTCTTGGCTTTTTGTCTACTTCATCGACCGACTTTTTTACTGCTTTTCTTTTGTTATTTTTTTTTCCTTGTTTCCCATTCGTCTTTGCCCCTTGCGAACCGAGTCCCACTCTAGAGCTTAACTTCATCTCGCCGAACAAACAAATTGTGACCTGTATTTCATCTTGACCCATACCTGCCCAACACTGAGCCGCATCTGTGGAAACATTGGCGAAGGCAAAGAAAGGGGTTGAACATCCTTGACGCAACAGCTTGGCAATCAACTTCGTAAATGACCTGATCCCTTTATAGAGATGAACGGCTTATGAGATGGTGTTATCTGCCACAAACCCCCTTTCCTCGCTCAGCTTGTCCAACACCCGTTCATGATCGAGAGGCTCAGAAAAGTTGTTGGGAATCGAATTGTGTGATGAATGCGCTCTTGATGGTACGTTTATGTGTTTTTGTATAGTGTACATGGGAGAGAGCCTCGAATACTCATACATACCGCCGCTTTTCAACTCTCCACTCCTATCTTCCATCCCCTCGTATCACCGCCGCAACCCGGCAAGATAGGCCAAACAAATTCGTAATCTCTCATCACCAAACATCTTTCTCAAACGAAGCCCACATTTCTCATCTCATTCACATTCACATGTGAAGAAGAAAACCAGAAATGGGTCCTCCAAACGCTCGCACGTCCCCCTTTCCATCATCCAGCGATTCACGGAATCACCTCGATACCAATGGACTTCGCCTGCCATATAATCGACTTGCACATTCCCTCCGTAGAAAGCCCCGACAACCTCAGCTCCGTCTGCTTAATCTTGGCAATCTCGTAAACGTGCTTGAGGCTGATCGTCCCCACCGTCTCCTTGCCCGGATTGCTCGCTCCCTTCCTCCTTCCGTTAATCTCGGGCACGTTGGCGGCGTTGAGGAGAAGCCACGACGTCTGTGGCGTCCGTATGTCGAAGGTGAAGGATCGGTCAGGCCGTACGGTTACGCGGCAGGGCATCGGCGTGCCGGTGGTGATGTGTGCTGTCCTCGCGTTGAACTCCTAGTTTTTGAGATAAGTTTTTGTTAGCGGAAAATCTGAACCCAGTACCGAACCACAAGAGAGAGAGAGAGAAAGAGAGAGAGGAATAAAAAGCCTTACCTTGCAGAAATCCATCGACTTAACACCCCTACTTCCAAGCGCGGGACCAATTGGGGGACTGGGCGACGCCTGTCCAGCTCCGACGATGAGCTTCACGAGCTGGTCGACTCCTCCCTTTCCTTTCGACATCATGAACGGGCGATCCTGCGCGCTAGACGTAGGTTATAAATTGCGTAGAGAGGTGCACGCGATTCGTTGGGCGGAGGGGGAGGCTCGGTAAGATGTCGTCGTTCATCAATCTCGGTCTTGCTGCTCTTCGCCAAAATTTGTTCCTGGTGGCTCCAATTGAACAAACATCGGACGAGGTTCTTTTGATTACATAAGCAACCACGATAACTCCAAATTCTTATCGTGATAAGCGATAAGGCGGGGTGGAGCAGGGATAGCGAAAAAAGAAGGAAAAAAAATATTCTGAACATTTTCTTTTTCACTGCATGAAGCACCGCAAGCAACCTCTCATCTGAAACCTTTTCCGACAAAACCACACCAAATAAAAAAAGAGAAAAGAAAAAAATCTAAGATGCCATCAAATCACACCAAAGAAAAACCGTGGGACACGGACGACATCGACAAATGGAAGATCGACACCTTCACAGCCGAGGACAACAAGGGCGGCAACCTCGCCGAGGAGTCCTCGTTCATGACCCTCTTCCCCAAGTACCGCGAAGTCTACCTCAAGGAAGCCTGGCCGCTCGTAACGAAATCCCTCAAAGCCAGGGGCATCGCGTGTGAGCTCGACCTCGTCGAGGGTTCGATGACGGTGAAGACGACGCGGAAGACGTACGACCCGGCCGCGATTCTCGACGCTCGGGACCTGATACGGTTGCTGGCGAGGAGCGTCCCTGCGCCGCAGGCGGTCAAGATCCTCGAGGACGGCGTTGCGTGCGACATTATCAAGATTAGGAGCCTGGTCCGGAACAAGGAGAGGTTCGTCAAGAGGCGGCAGCGGATCCTGGGACCGAACGGCTCGACGCTCAAGGCGCTAGAGCTCCTCACGCAAACGTACATCCTAGTGCACGGTAACACCGTCTCGGCAATGGGGCCATACAAGGGGCTGAAGGAGGTTAGGAGGGTCGTCGAAGATTGCATGGCCAATATACACCCAATCTACCACATCAAGGAGCTCATGATCAAGCGCGAGCTCGCCAAGGACCCGGAGCTCGCCAACGAGAGCTGGGACCGGTTCCTGCCCAACTTTAAGAAGAAGTCGCTGAGCAAGAGGAAAAAGCCGTTCAAGGTCAACGACAAGAGCAAGAAGCCCTACACGCCGTTCCCGCCGGCTCCCGAGAAGAGCAAGGTCGACCTGCAGATCGAGAGCGGAGAGTACTTCTTGGGCAAGCAGGCCAAGGACAGGGCGGCGCAGGCGGAGAAGATGGAGAAGCAGAAGCAGAAGATGGAGGAGAAGAAGCGCGAGAGGGAAAAGGAGTTTGTTCCCCCCGAAGAGGGGCCGAAGAAGAAGAAGAGGAGGAAGGCCGAGGCCGAGCCGGAAGACTGAGGTGGAGAACTGGACGGTTGTTGGCTATATTGGCTATATTAGATCTTTTATTTTTCTCTCTATGCTCTGGCATAGGATGGTTACCATTGCTTGGGGTGTGTGTAACCAACACTGTATAATGAGATACGTTCTTTTTAAGATACCCTCTATTCAGACTGTTTACGGCTGTGGGAACTTTGTATGCCCATCGTGATATAAGGAGAGGGAAAGGGAACATCAATCATTTGTCTCATTAAAGATCAGACCCTTGTCCCATTTTGGCACCAGCATATTACACCGACGAAAAAAGAGAAACAAAGTCTAGAGCTTAGACGAGTCGCTAACAGGACTAACCTCGAGCACGAGCTTGCCAAACTGCTTTCCCTCAGCCATATCCTTGAACAAAGTCTCGATACCCTCCAAGTTGCTCAATCCGCCCGTCACGACCCTGCTCACTGGGGGCCTAATCTTGGTCTCCCTCACGAATTCAACCATGTCATAGAACTCCTTCCTCGAGCCCATCGTCGTACCCTTGAGCTCAAAGTTCCTCAAAACGGCGGGCATAGACCAATCCATCTTCGGCGACGACGTCATGCCATACTGGGCGATAACACCGCCAGGCTTCAAGAAGCTCGTCGCGCGACGAATAATATCAGCACCAGCACCATCAATAATGGCATCTATGTACGGCCTATCCTTGGGCAGCAAGGCGAGGAGGTCCTTGTCCCACTTCGCGGCCTTGTAAGAAACGCCGCCCACGGCACCGAGCTTCTTCGCCTCGTCAATCTTGTCCTGCTTGCTAGATGTCACGTAGACGTTGCAGCCCTTGGCGACGGCGAATTGCAGCACCATGAGAGCAACACCGCCACCAATGCCCGTGATGAGGATGTTCCTGCCCTTTTCGGCATTACCGGTCTTAGTCACGAAGGCTCGCCAGGCCGTCAGGCCAGCGAGGGGTAGGGCAGCGGCCTCGGAAGCGGAGAGGTGCTCCGGGGCGAGGACGACCTCGTCTTCGGGCACGACGACGTAGTCCTGGGCCATGCCTACGGGGCTGAGCTTCGTGCCGCCGAGGATGGCGTAGCTTACGGGGTCCTCGGGACCCTCTGGCGAGGAGATCCATCCGTGGGCCGGGGTGAGCACGACGGTCTTGTTGACGAGGTCCGGGCGGGAGGATGCCTCGCCGACGGAGATAACGGTGCCGAAGGCGTCGGAGAAGAGGGGTGCTTCGAAGGAGATGGCGGCGTATTGGGCTTTGCGGATCCAGTGGTCACGATGGTTCAGGGCAACGGAGTTGATGCGCACGAGAACCTCTTTGGGGCCTGGAGTGGGCTTGCGGACCTCCTTGAGTTCGAGCCTTGAGGCCATTATTAGCAGCGTAGTAGATTGATGGAGCGTAAAGAGCACAGGGTGAAAAGAAGAAGGGGGAGGATGCGAGTGTAAGATGATCTTCTGGTAAAGAGGGTGCGGTGATGGGTTGTGAGAATACTTGGGGTGTTTGGTTGGACTCAACTATGTAACTTACGGATAGTACACCTCGCCAGGCTTCCCCTCGACATGCTTAATAGTGAGTGCTTGAGGCATCGTGAGATTAATTGATGTCCCGAGTGTCAGTCGTCCAGTTCACAATGCTGATTTGAACGGCAGCTATAGGTTTCCAAAGAAGCAAGCTTAGTTTGCTTTCACAACTGAGACAAATATACCGATTCTACGAGAGTGTTGCTCAGGTGGAATGCTGGAGGAGAAGTCCAGATTATATTGAGGGTTGATGGTAGTGACGATGATGCAATGAGCGAGGTGAGGATGTGGGGAAACCCTTGATGCCGGCTTGGGGCTCTCTGACTCGGTTCCGCAGTGCCGAGGTCGGTTCACTTAAGATTGTGAGTCTCCGGTCTAATGAGATTCACTTGAAGATGTCCTATTCGACGATCTAGTCGTTTTAATAATTCGGACTCAATTACAAATGCAAAGTTCAATGTTCCGTTTGAGCGACCTCAAATGCTACCGAGAGGCAAGTCCGTGCGAACAATGAATGCGAACAATGAATTTCTATCATCAATCAATCGACAGAAGCTACGAAGTAATGAGCCATTGATCCTGCAAGTCTAAATGCAATCAAGACCAGCCAAGCACGAACCCACCTTCCTTCAATGTATAGTGAAGAGTATTGCTCTAGCTTCAAGTGTCTAAACCCCAAATGCTGTCTTGGTCTTTGCGACCCTTTGAAGACCTCAGTATCACCTTATATAAGCACGGTTACGACCCCAGCCTTGGGGTCTTCGAGGATGTCCGGGCCTCCCAAGAGAGCGCCATCAGGTTATCGATGATACTTGATTTTTTTTTTCTTCCCACTGAGAGATTTTATGCTACTTCTCTCCCCGGCCTTTCCTATATCCCCATATTCCTAACACTTCTATATTCCCATTCCCTATTTCGGCATTCCTCTATTCCCTTGTTCCCAGCTCTTCCAGTATCCCAGTACCCCATATCCCCCATTCCCATTTGCGTACGAAGTAGAGCAGCCCTCGTTCCGCAGTGCCACACTGGAACTAGAATAGCCACCGCCACAGCCGCACAGCTAGACCTCTCTTACACATCTAAGGGGAGGATGGATCCTGCAATCATAGACGAAGACTGAGGCAGACAGGCAGTTTGGCATATGTTAAAAAGGGAGGCGCAAGCGGCTGCAAGCGATCAGTCACTTCCCTCGGTTTTGGAGGCTGTTTTGCGGGATCCATTCTCTTATCTTTTTTTTTTTTTTTCAATATTACTTCTTATATCTACTTTTCTTCTATTCCTTTTCCTAGTGAAGCCCTGCGATGCAGATTCCCACTGATCATTGATTTCCGGACGTCCTACGAAGACCATTACGACCGTCCCTTGACCATTGGGCCATTTGTCGAAGTTGTGCTGTTTCCAGTCTACGCCCCTACATTCCTAGGCAAGCGCGTATTCCCAACACTTCTATATTTCTCTTCCCATATTCCCATATTCTCAATTCTAATATCCTCAGCTCTTTTAGTACTCCTAGCTCTTCTAATATTTCCAGCTCTTCTAGTATTCTCAACTCTTCCAGTATCCCATTATTCCCATTGTTCCCAATTGCACATCAGCAAATAGAAACACAAACCTACATAGTCGAAGACAATAGTTACCTACCAGATACACCCTCCCCAGATATCCCTATAAGAAAATAAAGTACAAAGGAAGTTAGAGTCAAGTACTTATATACTTATTAAGAAATCCGCCATAGCAAAGTTATATAAAAGGAAATACAGCAAAGAACAGGGTACTCACAACTTACTTGCAGGTATATAGCAGATACAACTATTAAATAATTGTAGAAGGAGCTATTGTTATATTAACTAGATAGGAAGGAATTAGCCCTTTACTACCTTCTATTTTATATTAGAAAGAGTAGGCTAATTCTATAGAAATTATCCTAGTAATTTCTTCCTTACTAAAATAGTTTCTATATTACAAACTCTAGCTAAAACTAATTCCTATTTCTAAAATATTTTCCTTTCTATAATATAACCTTAATATAATTTTAGAAGACCTTCTACTATCTAAAAAAGCTTATTTTATAATAATACTTTAGGAATTCTATAATATTTAATAGTATTAGATTATTTAATTAAGTTTAAGTTAAGTTTTA